CTACATGATAAATTATGACCAGATCTTAAAAATTATTTGTGTTGCAGAGGTCGTGGACATGCGGGCATAGAAGTATGAGTGGCCGGTAATGATTATATTGATATATATGTACATATATGAAAGACATTTTTATGTAGGTAATCGATACGAGTCTGAAAATCAGGGATGCACGTCTTTAATTTGAAGATTCTGGTCGGAATTTTGAGTGTCTGAAATTGGAAAAGCGGGTCTGAAATTGAAGAATGTAGGTTTAAAATTAAAAATATTGGAACTTAAATTTTTGGAATTTGGTCTGAAAGTAGAAGAAACAGATATGAAAGTAAGAGTTATCTTACTTTCATACTCCTCTCAGAATATCTTTATTCATCTGCTATTTAGTTGTGCCTTTTATTTAGTTTTGTCAATAATATCTGTATTCTCCCACGGTTTACTTGAGCCTTTAAAACTTCTCAATTTATGACAAGGCGTATTTCATAAAATTAACTCGATGTCAATAAGCTGGAACAAGAAATATAAATTGCGCATAATACTTTTATTTTCGTCATTATTATATAAAAAATCCAATATATTCACTCCAATGAACATGTTCCTGCTTCGTTATTTTCTACTTTCCATTCATGTTAAGATATGAAGCTTCAGATTTTATATTTTAACCCTCTGAAAACAGCATCACATTCCTTATCCAGGATATCTCTTTATCAAGTATGTATGCATTCAGAAATTTAATTATATAGCTTGTGAGATATACTAATAAAAACATTGTTTTATGTAAATTCAATTGCTTGTGAGAAATACTAATGAAAACATTGCTATTTATTCAAGTGTTTTGTCTCGTACCGCAGGGACCAGTTTATATGAGCAGGCTTTACACGCGTCGATCCAGCAACGAGTGTCGCCTTTAAGCAACGTGTCTTCAGGCTCCGCTCTAAGACGGTCGATTAAACTTTTCAGATGATGATTTGTGTTTAAAATGTCAAGGAGGCTTGGCAGCAGCGTGTTCGGTCTTTTGATATTGAAGGCATTTTGTTCTCGATGCCGCTAGCCAGTGGCTATTTAGATCCAAGATACTTTCCCAGTAACACTTCATGTTACAACACTTCTCTTTAACTTCACTTCTTGTTGTTTGTTTGTTTGTCCGCTGCAAATCTTATAATCGATATTTTAACACACTTCTTCCTGTCTAATCGATGAAGTCGGAGACAATGCATGAATCAATTGACAGAAAAAACAATTTTACAATTAAAAAAGTTTAAATGTTAAAATAAATTTAAAATTTAAAGGTTAAAATTTTTACAAGATAAGAAATTCGTTGTACATGTGTAACATCGGTGGTACTGGCCTCTTTAGAAGTGTTGTCTTTGAAAAAAGTAATTTTTAAACGCATATTATTAATTGCTACTTTTCCTTTCTCGCACGACCTACTTCATCGGGTGACTGGGTAAGAACTTCGTAAAATGCCATAGCTTCGCATTCCATCACAATTAATATTTCTTTCTTTCGTTGCGCATCAGAGAACTGATATGAACTAACATTTCCTGCAGAACCATGCTAAATGTTATCAGTTAGTTCTCCAGAAACTTTCTCGAACTGCAACAATGAAAATTTACTGTATCGGATCGTTGTCAAACCTCGCCAACTGAAACCTACGGTTTCGTTATGCACAAATCAACACCAAGAGTGCAGCCACATTGCATTAGCTTTGAAACCGCTTTATACTGGTGCAGGGTAGCGTGCCGGCCTAAAGTTACTGGGGCAGTACTTTCGGAACATCGCTAAGTGTTTGTAGCCACTTAAGTACAGCGTAAGTCCGCTAAGTGCGCGTGATGAAGGTTCCTTAAAACATTTTGCGTAAAATTACGTGCAATAAGTTGTAGAAACTTTGCGACAACTCAGAAGCGCGTAAGTGGAGTTACGCACAACTTTTGAGTGAGTGAAGCGATTGGGAATCATTTAGTTACAAGTGTCTAGACTCCAGACTCTAGTAGAAGTAGTAGTAGTAGTAGTAGTAGTAGTAGTAGTAGTAGTAGTAGTAGTAGTAGTAGTAGACTCTACTAGTATATAAACTTTAATAGTAGTAGATTCTACTAGTGTCTAGACTCTAGTAGCATTTTAAGGTAAAACCTCCAATTTTTATTTATAAAAAAATGTTTCTAAGTAATTATATTAGTCGTGCATCTAATGCATTTTTCCTCAGTAAAAACGTTTCTAATTGGCGGAGACAAACAATGAATAGATCAAATTTAAATCGAATTAACAATATTTTTCTATCGTTCTTCATTATGTCACATTACTCATTAAATACTAGTTTTGCTATCTTGAAACTGCACATGTCATTGAAATTTTAAAGTAAGAGCGTCTAGGATTCATCAAAAAGAACTAAAAATGGATAAATAACAGCGCACAGAGCCGTGGTATCACGTGACTCACAACGTCAATAGGATGTAAGCGAGCTTGAGATTGGCTGCTATGCAGCGTGGGTTGATAGTGCGCTCTTAGCTAGGTCTTGCGTACGAAAGTTTCAAAGGTGACATAAGTCGCGGTGCGTACGATGGACTTATCTTCTAGTGCGTAAGTAAAAGAAGATAAGTACAATTAGCGATGTTTTGAAAATACATGCCCAGGATAAAAACACTTTAAATACTTTTAACGGATAAATCGGAAAGCAGATACGTCTGAAGCATATATTTTGAAAATGTTTTGCAATCGATAACTTGGAACAAAAAACATATTGTAAATTATATAAATATATATTATAAATTATAATTAAATATGATCATTTGTTTCGATTAGGCATTGCAGGTATTTTAATTTTACAACAGATCAGTGACTACTAGCGAACAACTTCTCATGAGTATGGAATTCATGAAGCTTGCTGCCTATTAGTAATAAGGATAGCAGGTAATCCAAGCGGCTGTATGTCTAAGCCTGTAAGGGATGCCCTGGATTTATAGTGAAATGTTCGGAACTTTTCCCGTAGATTTATCACCGATGCACGATAAGATGAGGGATCCGACAGGTAAAAAATTGAATTTAAAATACTCCAAGCCAATTATTTAGCAGTAAATCACATTAATAACAGACGTAAGTTGCAGTTTGATGCACATCAGCCTGTATATGATTCCCATGTACACGAACAGGATGTGTACAGCGATATAGCTAATTAAAAGCTACCAGCAACGTACTGCTTGTATCCTCTGATAAATACCATACTTGTACAGGACCGACCAATATTCGTCTCAAAGATGGATCCTGGTTGCCTAAATTATTTTTACTCGAGTAAGACGACGTTCAGAAATGGATTTGGATTACTCCATCAACTTTCAACAGGCATCGCTTCGTTCCCAGATTCATCAGGAATTTACACGAGTCCCTGAATTATCATTTTTACGAGTTCGATAGTTGTGAGTTTCTCGTTTATTATCGTACCAGTTGGAGCAATAACTGCGACCCGTTGCCGCAATAGGACAAATGCGAAATTTGAAAGCAAAGAAAGCTACAGAAAAATTAAGAATATCTTCATAGGAAACATTTCAGAGACCAGCTCCATTGTCACCTGGAAAATTCTAAAATGCAAGTAGTTGGTGCAGTCGAACATAAAAAACGAAACTAAAACCGAAATCTACAAATAAATTACAGAGCAAAAAAGTGGACTGGACTTTTCCCTGCGTTAAAATTTCTAGCGAATTTGCGATCCAAGCAAATGAGTGGCATTAATACTTTTAGGTAAAAGCTCTTGTATTCTAATTGAATAAAATAACCGTATTTTCAGGCAAGCTTGAGAAATGGAATACTGATGAAAAGTTGAGTTTCTGTCCAGCTGAGCGACATCCATCATTTGCGGGAGCCTGTATTTACCCAGCAATATCTGCAAACCTTCATGCATTATCTCCCTGGTGATCGCCGCTACTGAAGAAGTTTATTGAATAGATGAGGCGGCATTGAAGTCGCTCGTTATGTCCAGACATCACGCGAGTTATTCTGCTTTGTTTTCCATATATTGAAACAAGTTTATTCATATAATTTGGTATTACCATTTAATAAAAATGGAAGTGAGTTGCCATGAAGTATAGTATGTTGAAAAATATATTCTATCATACTAAACAAATTTACTCTTTACTTCCCTTCTCAACATCGTTATCATCCCAGCAATAATTCACAGTCTTCACTCGCACTTGCTTCTGAAAATTTTTGCTTCCTATCAAAAACTGGATTAAAATGTATTCCTGATTTACACTGTAGATGAACAATTGGCAAAGACGTTTTTGTGCGGTCGGCTCTATAAATAACAGGCCATTGAGCTCCATGATGTACATGAATTTCTACACCAAATACAAAACTTGCTACCAAAATAACCTCTTCACATGGTAATTGCTCATTCAGTCTCATGACTTTCATTCGCTTTTTGAAATCGCCTACCGGTGCAATATTGAATTTTCTCGGATTTTGAGCAAGGAAATCTATTAACATTATTCTAAGGTTCAATGGCGTACCGGGGATATCTGTACTCAGTCCTACTACCTCTTTCAAACAAATGAGCAATGATTCAAACAACGAATTACCGCCTCCTTCTACTTTAGGCATTACCATAAGACCTGCAGGTAACTCATTAGTCTCCTCCACACATTCGTTCTCAATAGGACCCACGATGCGTGACATAGTATCAGCGGCTTCATTATCTTTACCTGGCCGATATCGGATGACAAAGTCAAATTCTGCTAATTCATTCAACGTGCGCATTATTCTAGAATTCTCCCTAGCCAAATTTTGCAAATATATTAAAGGCTTGTGATCCGTGAACAAAATGAATGGTACTGCAAATAAGAAAGCTCTAAAAGTTTGTACACTCCACCTGATAGCTGTCAGTTCCCGTTCGATTGTCGAATATCGTCTCTGCGTTGCTGTAAACGTTCTGGATGAATACGCTATTGTTCGATACTCGCCCTTCTGCTTCTGCATCAAGCAGGCTCCGGCACCAACACTAGACGCATCTACATACAGCTCTAAACGCTCTGCTGAGTCTGAATAATCGGGGAAACTAAGGGCAACATCAGTCAATAAAGCTTCTTTCAATGCATCAAAAGCTACATTCATTTCCCTAGTCCAACTCAATACCTCCTTCTTCGGTCCCCCCGTCAATTCCGTTAAAGGTTTTGCAATAATCGAACATTTTTCTATGAATTTTCGCTGAAAATTTACTAGTCCTAAAAATTGTCGCAACTGGGTAACTGTAACTGGTTTTGGATAATTCCGTATTTTGTCAATAAATTCTGGCGATTTACGTATCCCATCTGCTCCTATCACATGTCCCAAAAAAAATTAACCGATCTCCTGAAAAACTCACATTTCTGAACTTTAATTTTGATACCATTTTTACTCAGCGTTGTCAAGACCTTTTTAACTAGTGACAGATGTTCTTCAAAAGTCTCAGTCATAATCAATATATCATCAATGTAGACTAGAACATTATGAAAACAAAATTCTGACAGGATTTGCTGCATAGTTTTCTGAAAAGCAATTGCACTATTTCGTAACCCGAAAGAAAGTCTTTTGAATTGGTAATGGTTATGTGGAGTACTGAAAGCGGTAAATTTGCGGCTATTTTCGTGAATGGGGACCTGATAATAACCTCTAATTAAATCTAACTTGCTAAAATACTGTACGTTATGGCCAGCATATATTGAATCGTTGATACTAGGCATTGGAAACTTCTCCGGCTTTGTCACTTTATTCAATTGCCGGTAATCTAGACACATTCTTAACTCTCCAGAAGGCTTCCGAACTGGCACTACCGCTGCCGACCAATCTGAGTTGCTATATTCTATTATATCTGACGACAAAAGCTCCTCACACTGCCTATCGATTTCTCTGTTTACCGGCTCTGAAAATCTCCTAGGTCGTAACCAAATCGGAGTGTTGTCTGTTAATTCGATAACATGCGGGGCAACATTGGCCTTCCCTACATCATCTTCGCTCTTGTTCATTACTGCCTTAGCAGACAACAACATGTCATATACAGCGGTATTTTGCTCTTCCCCTAAAGTATCCCCTAACTTTATTTCCCTCTTCAATCGCTCTAACGTCCAACTGTCTTCTGTGATTTCCTCCTCGTCCAACTCTAACAAGGTCGATACTCGTCCTACGTACGATCCTGCACTAACTAATTTTTTCCCTTTAACACTAGACATAATTATCTCCGGAGTACCATGAATACAGGAAATTATACCGTCTAAACTTCGCTTACCCGTCCCTTCCTTACCATCAAAAAAGTAGCATGGAATATTACCATTCAATATAGAACTAAAGTTAGCAACAATGGGTACTCTACCTCCTGTTTCATTCACTCTAGTACTTTTCATAGCGTATGCTGGGATATTTTCTAACATGATCGACTTAACTGCATTATTCTCCTCCAAAACCACTCTCATGCTCGAATTGTCATTCATGACTTTACTGATGGTGCGTTTGTTCATGTCTACAGAAATTCTTTCAGCATGTAAAAATGAATAACCGAGGATTATATCATATTGAATGACATCATTTGCGACCACTATTACAGGAACATCAATTATAATACCGAAAAAATTTAATGGCAATTTTGCATGACCCAATGCATACGTTTGAGTTTTACCTAATCCCTTGATTACCGAAGCTTCCCGATCAAATAGATTAATGCCAGAATCCACCAAAACCTTACTACTACACAAACTTCTACCAGCCCCACTATCAATCAAAACTCTGACATCAGACAAATTAACATTAAGCGATAAACACATGAGATTTGCGGGGTTTAGACAAGAAATATTCACCTGAAGGTTTTGGGACTCGCCTTCACATCGCGGCGCACTCTGGTCACCCATAGGCAACTCTGACCCACGAGTACTGTTACTGTGCACATCTGAAGGCTGTTCGATAGCAGGCACAGGCTCGCCCTGCTGACTGTTGTGTCTCGGGTTCGTGGTCTCGCGTGTCGGCTCACTCTTCCATTCGTCGTAGGTCGTATGATTTCGGTCGGAGTTCACGTGGCTGCGGACGTTGCCACGGTTACCGTTGATGTCTTCATTTTGGTCCGCTTCATCTACGAGCCTTGAAAATCTGTTGCGGAGAAGAAGGGTTCCTTTGTCCGAATTCAGTCTACGTTGACGCTCTAGCTTTGTTTCTTGAGCAGCAGCTTTGGATTTGAACTCCGGCTCTCTTGCGTCCGGGTTAGCACTGGCTCTTTGGCTGGACTCCTCGTTCTGAGGGCTATGGACGTGCAGTGGTCGTGATGCTGCCTGGTTCTCGTTCTCTCTCCTGGTCCCACGTGGTCTGTACGTCGGGCACTGTCGTATATAATGCTCTGACGATCCACAAATGAAACACTCGCCTCTCAACTTTCTACATTCTCTAGCAAAGTGTCCAACACGACCGCAGTGTCCGCAAGACGTATCGTAACGTTCCGTAGCAAAAGTCGTACTAGCACGATATCTGAGTGCCTCTTCATACGCAGGTCTGTGCGATTTCCAATAACACCGAACCTGGCTTGCGGGTGATGATATAGCGTTTCTAGTTGGTTTTGGTTCCCTTTCTCTACTGGGGAACAACTCAGAAACCTGCACACATGCATCGCTTTTCTCTGTGCGATTCAGGTTAACACACATTTCGGGCATCGTATCGTTTCTAGCTTCTCTGGCATTCTCTACATCAAAATGACGGGCACATTTCCTTATTGATTCCCACGTAAAACTCTCTCCTTTCATGATGTAGCTCAATTTTAATGTTTTCAGCACTTTTTTGAAGTCATTGGGAACACAGTTCGTGAATTTGTTGATCAACGTCTTACTCAAGTTCACCTTGCGTCGCGGATAAGCTAGCCGGTATGAGCGCTCCAGACGGTTACAGAAGAGATACATTGGCTCGTCTTTCACCCAACAAGCTCTAGTGAAATCCTTTTCGTTCTTCTCTCGGCGCAGCTCTTTCATGTCTTCGTACCAGTCACATAATTTCTTCTTGACGTCGTTGTAGGAATCGTCCACTTCTTTCATTGAATTGAATGCTTCAAGTATCTCGCCCTTCAAATTCAACTCCAGTTGACCAATCCATAGATCTCTACCGCCTCGGTAATTGTCCTCACAGAAGCTTTCAAAGCGTCGCAGGTATGCCTTCAAATGTTGCCTCGAGTCTACGTCAAACTTCTCTAATGGTGGCACCTTGCGGCTATCCAATCTTGCAAGAACACTCTTCCACTCTTCGAACAAACCGTGGGGCTTCGCATAATCCTTCCTCTTGATATTCCTCTTCTTACGGAGCACAATCTCTTCTGATGAGCTGCTGTTCTCTCCGCTACCCGCTCTTCTCTTCATATCAAGCATCGAACACTCCACTTCATCACTGGCGAAACTCCTATTATACTCGTTCACACCTTGATTATTCGTCTCACATGGTGGAGTTGCTCGTAATTTCGGTACTGCTCCCGATCGTTCATTACTAGAAACTTCATCAGTCGTTGAACTACTCTTCACTCCTAAGCTCAAAAAAGTATACCAAGTGTCGCGGAAATCTTGCATGAGGTTTTTCGATCCTCTAGGTAATCTATGTTCGATATTTCTCACATTGTTCAAAAACTTTTCAATATAGTTTAAGTTCTCTTCAATGAAATTCACTTCTTCCTCCTGGCTCAATTCTTCTCGATCACTTTCCCTACAAGTCGATGGCAAGGTACGTGCACATTCCATATTTACTTCTCAAAGCAATGAAATAATCAAGCGTACAGGGCGGAAAAGCACTTTAAATTAGGTGGTCAAGCCGAGCAAAAGGAAAGCCTCCGTGTAGTTTTCACATGAAATAAACAAATGCACCAGTATATTCCAAAATAACACTGAACAGTTCACATTTCCACACCACTTTTACGATCCCAGGCCACTGCAAAAGTCACGGCACCATTTATGTTGGGGCTCTTTGTAACCACCAACTAGCCTTCATGATCGCATAGGTTTATTCATTAATGCACGATAATCAAAACACTTTATTACACCACTTTCAAATAAACAAATAAATAATAAATAAATAATGACACTAGCAAGTTCACTTCATGGCTTGATCTTGGTGCTTAGCTCTTGAGGCTAAATTTCCATTTTGAGGCTTTCCTATAAAAGAACCAAATAAAAATAGATAAATAACTGACAGTAAACAAACATTAAAACGCATATAAACTCTAAATATTCACAAATCTATTCCGGATTAAATCTATTCACATATATATTTACATATTCACAATCTAACACAGCACATACCTCCGCTCCGGCTTTCCACGACAGAATAATCTAATCACCTCCTCCTTCCGCACTTAGCCTCCCGTAAACTCTAAACTAAAATGACAATTTAAAATTCCGGACTATAAACAAATTATACAATCATAAACAAATTATACAATCAATACTCCGATATATAAATAGCAATAATTTCTATCCCTTACAATATAAACCAGTAAGCTATTTTTTCATTAAAGTATCGCGTATCAGATGACTAAACAAAGGTGCGCGTGCACATATACATCGACGTCATTCTATGAGCGGGATATGGTCATGGTTCGTTCAAATATCAACATCTGACGATAAAAATCTGACGTGAGGAAGCTTGACCAGCTGCTCCTTGCGGTTATATTAAGCAGATTCTGCCCATAAGGACATGGACTCCCGAAAAATGTTTCTATATAGCAGCGGGATACAGCAGATGGCCGATTACCGCCTGATTCACTACACAGGCGACGTGATAGATTGCGCGGCGACCCAAAATGGAACCCGAATTTTGAATGGGTAATTTAACGCATATAATAACATTGTTTCTGGCCGAAATATCAACGTTATAATAGTGATAATATAATAAGTTGAAGATATCATGCAATAGTGATTAAGCGCACTTACGACATTCGAATACTTCATATATAGTTTTCATCGTAGGTGTTTGTTTTGCCGCGAATACAGAGGCACTTTTGAAGTCAACGGATATGAAACATACCGCCGTTCCAAAATTATTTGTTATTGGTGAGCCAAGTGAAAGATCGTTGATAATTAATTCCAACTTATTTATTATTTCTAATGCTGTATCTGTGTATAAGGTGCGCCAAAACATAACCTGGAGGTTATGTCATATACGTGCTTTAAGCAAAATAAGTTACATAATAATTCTACTTATACAGACTAGAATCAAGTATTAATTGGTGGTACGAGGAATGCTTGAACATCAACACCTTGTACAACACCGATCAGTTCTTCATGCAACCAGTTATGCAACCCTGCGATAGCAATCAACCCGCAAGTGGTGATCGTAGATGATGGTGATATTGTATTTTACCACGTTTTTCTTAGCTCGCTTTCGTGTCCCTCTGTCTGTGATGATCAAATCTTGCAATCGATATTTCACCAACTTTCCCGCTAGCTAGCGCTCTGAAACTTTTAGGGAAGCTCAGCTACCGGTAACAATACAATAATCAATAATTTGTTGCACGTTTCCAGGCGTATTTTTACCGAACCTTTCTTTTTACAGCCAAGCACCCAGATAAATACGGGAACAACAATATATCCCCTCGAATACTATTTTCTTCAGAACTTTGAAAAGAATTTTCTTTTGTGCATTTGCGTGGCCAACTGAAATGAAATGAAATGAATATTATGTAGGATGGTTGACCTTTGTGCACTAGTTATAAACTCTAAAGGAACTCACAAGCAGGGGTTGGGAACCTTTAATGCACGTCATCCTCGAGAGGATATTCGTCTTTAGACCTGTCTCTTATACACATCTNTGAGTTTGCCTCTTCCCCTTTTCCAATTCAAAGTAGACCTCGTTTTTTTGGGAATACTGAATCTTATTTTTCAATCGAGAACCGTTAAAAAAACGCCTTTCAAAGTAAAGAAATGTCATCCTTACTACAAAAGATCAACAGATTTTATCATCAAACTGCACGACAGTACTTGTTCAGAGGATTACTCAGAAATATTTTGATAAAACTTAACTTGTCTAGGAACGAATAACAAAATTTGCTTCGGTCATCGTTTTACATAACACCTTTTAGTTTTAATCAAGTCTCTCAGAAATGAGTTAAGGAGGAAAGAAGTCACGAATAAGGCTGGATGATAATCACCAACTTTAAAAGGAGTTAGACAAATCTAATGCTACTTAAAATGCGGCCTGCGTTCAAACATTCAACATAATTTCATGATACTGCTATAGAACTCTATTTCAAATTACTTGCATAAAAGAAATAATGCAGTCACTGGAGCGAATACATTTTAAGCTGGAAATTTCCCATTATTAAACATCTTATTATAGGTACGCGAGAAATTTTGACGGACACTATTAATTATTTTGTTTTTTATTTCCCATTATTAAATATCTTATTAAAGGCAGGCGAGAAATTTTGAAGGACGCTGTTAAATTTTGACGGACACGAATTAATTTTTCACTTACTAACTCCCTTTTATATATCGAAGTAGGGCCCGATATTTGCAGAAAACTGAATCTTATCTTTCAATCGAGAACCGTTCAACAAAGTGTAAAACATGGGGTAGACAAGAAATGTGACGTTCAAATTAAAATATTTTCGTCCTAAATTTACAAAAGAACAGCAGATTTGGTCGTTTGGGTGCTCAATAAAATGCTTGGCAGTAATTGTTCAGAAGATTCGTCACAAATTTTTTTTTCAAACTCAACATGTCTAGAAAAAATTAGCAAAATTTGCTTCAGTTATCGTTTTATACAAAATTTTTTAGTCATGATTGAGTCTCTCAGAAATGAGTTAGGTAAGGCAGAAATCACGCATGAGGCTAGATAACAATCACGACTTTAAAAAGAGTTAGACAAATCTAATGTTGCTTAAAATATGGCCTGTGTTCAAACATTTAACAGAATTCCATGATACTGCTATAGAACTCTATTTCAGACTACGTGCGTAAAAGAAATGTTGCGGTCACAGCAGCGAATGCATTTGGAGCAGGAAATTTCCCATAATAAATATCTCATAGAAAGTGGGCGAGGAATTTTGACGGACACTATTCAATACTACACATTCTATGCATCATAAGAAACTATTTCCCGGACTATTTCCAAGCCTAATATTAATGTTGATCACAATCATCTTACCAGTTATATTTTAGCGCATTAATTGTACTTGTAGCACAATTCAAGTTAAACAGATAATGTTCGATAATAATTTGACATTTACGATGCAAATGAGAAACACGAAGCGTGCCGGACCAGACTCGATAAAAATTATGGTTACACTGTGGAATCATGTTTGTCAGAGACATGCAGAGGTGGGCAGTAGCGCGCTACATGTAGCGGCCGCTACATTTTCAGTAGCGGTAGCGGTAGCGGACCTACATTTAAAGCAATGTAGCGATAGCGGTATCGCCCGCTACATATTTAATTAGCCGCTCGCTACAATCTATCGGGTGTAGCGATAGCGGTAGACCCCCCTACATTAAGAGCATGTAGCGGTAGCGGCCGCTATATTTCAAAATAGCGCTGCCCAGCAGTGGAGACATGCCAGCTTACTCATCGGTCGAACAGACTCAATTAAAAACTTTTACAGACACTTCGCTGACCGCAGCTGCAGTCAACCCAACTTTTCTGAGCCATGATAAAGTTTGGTCGTACTAAGCTGCTAGCTGAGTGCATGGATAGCCTGTCATGGGTCATCGTCCAATTCAGAAGACAGCGCATTGTCCAAATCGTATAATGGTGGCTACATTTATTCGAGGATTTATAGCGAATAATCGATATAAACTTTCAGTAATGTACATAGAAGGTTGCTCAGCAAGAGTACCGGCAAATGAACACGTTCGGCAATAAACCAACGTTTAGTTCTCTGTGGCATGAAATTATTCAGGCGATTTTTGGTGTGATTTGCCGAGCTTCGTCCAACGAAAAAGTTCCTAACTACCATAATTACGGAGCTATGACCAGTAAAGTTTATGTTCGTTATGGAAGCAGAATTTAGTCGAAATTATGCATCACGTGGGGTTACCGGACCTCCATGTACAACAGTTAAACGTGGTTCTGTGTATTCCTCTTCCTCCTTGTTTTTTATTCCTCTTCCTCCTTGAAGTTGGTAAATCGCACCCGAAAATTTATAATTTCAGTTGAACTGACATGCAGATTTAAACATATACAGTCAATGTTCATATTTCGTCTGTAGCTCGCCACAATTTACTGACCACGAAGTCCCCATGGGTTGATGCGACGTAGAAAAACTTGTTCATTACATTTCGTTTTGTTGACAAACGAGGCTCCCAGACAGCTCATGTGTGAACGGTCGAAAACTGTCGTGTTGAAAGTTCTTAACTAATAACCTACTGCAGTCAGAAATGATAGGAGAGTTGTCAAATCATTCGCATTACCATGAGACGCACGCATAAAGTTCCTCGGGCTTCCTGGCAGGCAGCGGTTCCAAATGTTTCGAATCTGGAAAGAATAAGATAGCCTAATCTTTTCACTGGATAATTTCACTGGCCTTGCCAAAAGTTGATTTCAGCCAACTCCAATTGCCAAAAGTTATGAGTTTTTATGGTGTTGGCTGAAATCACGATTATGTGCGAATTCCCTGCGCATAATGTCTGGATTATGGACGAAACTGAAATGAAATTTTTTTCTGATCAAATAAATATCTTTTTTTCTCGATACATTTTTCATGTCAAGAATGAATTTTTTATGGCAAGGATATATTTTTCAAGACAAGGATATATATTTTATGTCAAAAAATATTTTTTTTGCACGTCAGTGATAGATTTTTAAGCCAAGATTATATTTATTTCAAGTTGATGATTTGATTTTTTAAGTGGTAATAAATGAATGAATGTAATAATTTGTATTACATTTTTCTTATTTTTAAATCTAAAGTGTTGTTTTATAATTTTTAAACAAAAAATATGCAATTCTGGTAAGGGCCCCATTGCATTAAAAGGGTAAAGTAAAAGGCCTTGCCCCAAGCCCATGGGTCCATTGTCCCAGGGGTGGGGCCAATTGGCCCATTTCGACACTTTTTACAGAATGGTGTTTCTTTAAAAATTAAATAAATCTATAGGCGTCTAATTCACATCATACATTCCTCATTAGTTGTAACTTTAAGCAAAACAAAGAACTACCTCGTATCAATTAAAACTTCATCAAAAATTTAGTTTAAAAAGGGGGAGCCCGCTGCCCCATGTTACCCAATGTCGTCAGTACCGTGAGGCTCCCTCATTGAAGCGTTAATATTTACGCGCTAATAGTAGCTTGAATTACGCTCTCCGGCTGGTTGAGTGGCGTTGTACGCGCCTC